AAAATAAATATGCACCTTCGTCAGAACTCACTTCTACTTAACTATAATTGCACCTATCTGAGAAATCCTGTGAAAGTTAGCATTTCAACTTTTTAATAACCCTGAGTAAAATCTGCATAGAATAGGCTTCTCTGAGAAAAGCTCCACAGGTTTCTATCCAATGCCCACTAAGCCAAAAACATAGCCAAAAGGAGGCTTCAAGAGTCAAGAAGAAAAAGACCCATCTAATAACTCATGCTTCTTTCCAGAATTCAGTGATGTTTCTAGAACAAGACAACGATCTGCTCAGTAGGGATGTTGAGAAGTTTCTCTAGAAAACCCCCATAAAACGATGTGGTTCTTGCCCACAGTAAGAGTAAGAACAGGCATGACTACGACAGCAACAACTCCAGAACTCCCAATAGGAAAACTGGTATATTCTGCAAACTGTGCTGTGTGTACTGATTTTCCTACCATCACCACTATAATAGTCTGCAATCTTTGATCACAGAAGAAAGAAAACGATTCATGTACTAAGGACAGGATCTGCCCAGAGACCAAAGATGACACCCAGGCACCACCTGCATGGCAAAAGCAGGGCCCGTAGCTGGAGCATGACATGGGCAGAGGACTTTGGGGGAACACGTGGCCCTGGCTCCATCTCTGGAACTCGGTCGCTGCTCGCTCCACTGGGAAAGACACCACCAATATCATTACAGAAGCAGAGCTTCTCAGCTATTACTGAATTCCGACAAACGCACTTTATCTCAGTTTGGGAAAGAAAAAAACACGGTCTGGCACATCACCCTTGGAAAAGCTGTTGACCTCGGTGCTGATGCTTTGGGTTCATATTTTCAGTATCTGACACAGACATTTCTCAGGTGTCTTTATATACTTTGAACAACTGCAGACCCTAAATAAAAGGACAAAGCTTTTGGCAGAGTCAATGGGAATGTATGCTTGCTGGTGCCAGGACAAACTTTCAGCCACTGTATGTAACCTTTGCCATGCTTCAACTCTCCTCTCTCACATGAGCTTCCTCATTGTCTTCCACAGAATATCTGAGATCAGAATCACAGGAACAGGATTTTATACCACAACAACATCTCTCCATACTATAACCACCTTACAAAATGACTAAAGGACAAGAATTTATTCTTTTTACTCATTTCTCGTAATATGATTAAGAAGCTACCGTCATTGCATATTTTTTTGCTTCATACTTGCAGTATTTTTTCAGGGAAGGCACATATCCCAGTAAAGTGAAATGTGCATCGCAAATAGTTTTTCAGAGTATGACATGTCACATTTCTTACACGGCAAAATGGAGTTAAAAATAATTGTACAAAATAAAAGCTGCCTGAAATTTTAGCTTTTCAGAAACATATATAACACATCGTGAAATTCTGTATAATACCCACTCTCATTTCATGCACAAGTTATTCTGCCTTGTTATTCTAAAGTAGAACTGAAAGGAGGACTATTTTTTATGTCGTATTAAGTTTTGTTGAGTCACACTTGGAACACCAATAATACAAATAATCTTTGCTTAATACATATCACTCATAAGAAATCTAAATTTAACATAGAACAAATTACAGATACAGGTTCCAGCACAGCTCATCGTATGATTTTTCATTACCAATTGTGTTTGAATACAGAACTTGAGCTGTAATGTAAAATGAATAACCAACTGGCAGACAGACAGCTCCTTCCACAGACTGCTAGTTCTATCGACTATGCAGGATATAACACCCACTTCTGAAAAGCTTACTACTGATGGGTGAATGCAGATAAATGACAGATATAATTAAAATTCTTTACTTCAGGTCAAAACACATCCTCCTTTCAAGCACAGGTACATTCATACTGACATAATGTAATTTCCAAAAGAATCTTTTATTTCATAGACTTTGTTGGCTGAAGGCTGTCAATAACCTATCAAATCTATAAACCTCCTGATGAAAGTTTTGTCATACTCCATATGCAATCCAGAGTAAGTCATAAACTCTTAAGTACATGAAAAGATATTCCTCAGCAAGGCAGAGTGTTTGGCAGAATCTTCAGACTGACTTTTCAGTTTCTTTTTTACATTAACTTCTATATTGCTTCTATATTATCTGTTCAGGATGGTCACTTATTTACAGTTCCTTAGTTGAAATCAGTCATACTAGTTTTGTTCTGTTTTGGAATGAACGCATAAAGTGTTAGTGAAGTCTCCAGTCACCACTTGAAATTAATCATAATGCAGGATTAAGAGAAATAAGCTCTCAGTTGGCCAGAAGAACTTACACTGAATTATATATGCTCCCAGCTGTGCTGCAGTGTTGACTGGACAAGGCAAACGGCCCTGTAAAACATCTTGCTTGACCTGCAAGAAAAACTGATACCTAAAACACAGAGAAAAAACAAAGTTGTTATTATTTCAATATTGAGTCTGATGCACCAAGTATTGTTTCATCACCTTCCAGTTTACTGAAGACGTACCATGTACCATAACTATGTGACGGTCAAAAACTGTATCCCTCCCTCAATGTCTTTTCCCCTACTGACCTTGAAGTAACAACTAAGATTAATCTAGTGAAAGAACCATGGTAGGGGAGCACTCTGTAGTTTTCCCATCTGCTCACATCGTGCAGATGCAATTCATTTTCCCCCAAACAATGTAATTACTCTCTTTTGACTTTCATAGAGCAGTCAGGAAGTAGGGAAGAAGGCTAGGAATCAGAAAAAATGAACAAAAAACCTATCAAAGACCTGATGTTTAACCTGATCAATGGATCAACCTAAGGGAAAACTGGGTATTGGATACTTTTTACTCAAATACTTCCTCTCCACACACCAGACTATCAACTCTAGAGCAGCAAGCAGATTTCGTGGAGTCCATACCCCCATGAAAAAGATGCACTGGCACACCATCAGCAGCTAACTGTATCTGTCATAGCATAGGGTACTCTCCTTCTTGGAACAGAGATAGCAGGGGTAAAAATGTAATTTTCAAAGTCATAACCTCCTTCTACACTTGATGAAGCACGTACTGAGACCACTTACAGTGAAACAACATGCACAAAACTGTTGGAAAAATAAAGACTTTTAAAGACAAGCCATCATACAAAGGATCTGCTTGGTTTTGCAACTCCCCATACTCATTTATAGGAAATCTTTTAAATGCTGATTAGATTTTGTCTGGTTTTATTACAACAGACTTACGCAGTGTTTCACATCATCCTAAGCAAATTTCTTGCACCAAGTTCCTACAAAAGGTAACAATACTGAGAAGGTAACTTTTTAAAGAAAAAATGATGATCCATACAAACATATAGCTTTTTCATTATTCACTAGTTCAACTTTATCTATGTAGAGCCATTCAGCTACACTGCAAATAATTTTTTCTGTGTTAGTACAAGTTACTTATGAAAGCACCTTGGAATGATCAGTAAGTTCAAAGTGCCTCTACGCTGATTTCAGGGAAGTTCACAAACTGCAGGTTACATGATAGCTGATCGACAAACCATTGAAGATCCAATCAAAGTTACTAGCTTTATCAGCCCAGATGAGGCTCTGAATAAGAATACCAGTGTATTCCTGGTTAAAGATTCCCAAGAATTTCTGCTCTGACAGATGTTACAGTAGGAATGTCCTTAAAAAAATGGCTAATATTCTCCACCTTAAAGGACCAGGGCACCGCATAAGAATTTTCTGAGAATGTCTTTGGGCAACACAAAACACACACAGTCAGCGTTTCTTCACTCTAAGCAATACTTCAGTACTACTTCTAGCTTACGCTTGCCAGTCCTACCTAGAAAAATCTTCTCTGTATGCATGATGATAATGACAAAGATGATTTTAAATCTACTGTGGAGTACACAGCATCTTCTTTTTAACATGACATGCATTTCTGATATGCACTCATTTTTCTGTTAGCACTTCTCCATCTCTACCGTGCAGAGCTTCATACCAGATGATGCTACAAATGTCTTTTCCATGTAGCAGGTATCTATATTTCTGCAGTCTCAGAGCATAGTCTCAAAATAAAGCAGGATAGGAAACTGCAAAAAACACCACCTCCCTGAAAAAAACTAGTCAGAGCCAACTGTTAAGTGCTTAAATGTCTCCTATAAACCGAACAATCTCAATTCCCACTGAAGCCACTAAGCTCCTCACAAAACCAGGCCTTTTGTCCAAACTGTAGCTAAAGCACTCTCACCTTGTGCGCTGTCAAGTTTGTCGTGCATACATAATAGTGCCTAAGTGCTAGTTTGTTCTAGCAAACACATCCAGCAAATGGCAATATGAATCATCGAAATGTTAGCTTTCACCCGCAAGCCAGACAGATTTTGCTGTGAAGCAATTACAAATTTGACAGGTTTTCATTATTTGCAAATAGTAATCACGTAACACCACAGATCATCAACATCTACTAACAACAGACTCTGCTCTTGTATCCATTAAAATAACAAACATACGCTCCAAAGAAACACATTGGTTAGCGCAAACGGTTAACACGTCTCTGGAATTACACACTTTGGCAGAAAATTATTATTATAAAGAAAAATAGGGCCTTTAATCCCTCCTAAGCGAAAGGAGGTTTTATTATTACTATATTTTTTTCTGAAAAGGTATACCTTCCTTCCAAGGTTTAAAAGCCTATAGGAATAAATGCTTTGAAATGTTGAGGGTATTTGACTATTCAATATGTTTTCTTGAAGACTGTCAATACAAGCATATCATTTTCTTATGCTCTCCCTCTGTACCTTCTAAGGTACAAATTCTGTATAACCAAACACTGTGCAGACATGAGCAGAGGCTTACTAATTATACTAAAATGCTCCTCGACTAGATTCACACACCTAGTCAGCAGTGCAAATCACTGACTGAACTTATCACTAGGCAAAAAGAAACAGTTTTTGAAAAATTAGCCCTGGTCATTTCCCAGGCAGAAATCCACGCTGCCTCCCGGGTAGCAATCACAACACGTTTGGTGGCCAAAGCTCCCTTCCCAGGGCCATCTGCCTTCCCTTGTAAGCAGGGCTGAAAGCACTTCTGGAAAAGTACAGGAAAACTGCATCAAACTCTCATGGTACAGAGCCATCACACTGCGGCCAGCTTACACTCTTTTACCTGCAAAGTCACAGTGTTTGTTATTTTTACCAGGTCAGCCTCAATCTTGTTATATTGGAGACTTCCACTCCTGCTCTGCCAGTATGGAAACAAAAGAATTTTCTCATTCTGTACAAGAAAAATATTCTGCCTGTGCTGCAACAACTGCCATCTTTGATTAAGGAAAATAAAAAACTCTGCATGCATTCTAATGAATTCTCCTGTGTCATATTCCTAGGACATCAGAATAAATATTTTGGCATTTGTTAATGCAAGTCAGTGCACTAATTTTGTCCGCCTACCTATCCAAATTCTCCAATTTCGTTTTGAACCTGAAACTAACTGTCTGAGACCTTTCAAAAATAAAGCAGACAGAAAACCCTGTGTGTGACAGTTCAGGCAAGCATGTGTCTATGCACATGCGTGTGTCTGTGTCAGTGTGTGCACATTCTGTAGAGGCCAAGCTTAGTTAAAAGAATCAAAAGTATGCAACTCTTCAATTTCCTTCACATATTTTTAGAAAGACCAAAAGAAAACCTCTTGAAAAATGGTTCTGGAATTTAAGCTATGGCCAATAAAGAAGAAAATTCCTTGTATTTGTATTTGATATTGAAGTTAACTCTAAACTTGATTACAGCACAATATAAATGCAGATGTGACAATGCATTCCTTAAAAAACCCCACAAATGTACATCAAGTCCCTTTGGTTTTTTATGCACCAGAGAGCCCCTTTTCATCTCAAGCTTTCAAATAGTTGTCCATACATACCAACCATTGTGGAGTAACAATTCTCTTCCTTCACATACATGTTCAAGCAACAATGTTCAGATGTCCAAGCAAAAAAAAATCCAACCCAGCACCTGGCTGGAACAGATTTCTGCCCTGAAATCAACAACCTGCACTCTTACTGAATACTGTACCTTGTTATTTCTTCTTTAAGTTTACATGGATCCTCTGCATAGAATTTAATGCCAAAATACAGTGTGTACGGTGGTCCAGCTGAGGGAAAAAAATATTTGGTGCAAAAGTTAGTTGTTATGAACTGTTGTTATGAACTGTTACTAGCTGACTACAAAACAGCTACTAAGAAGCCTATCTTAATATTTTCTGAAACTTGAAAGTTTCAGAAAAACTCTGACACCCACATAGCAAATCTGTGCTTCTACACTCATTACACACAAGGAAAAAAAAAGGATTTTTATTATTCTTTTTCTAGTCTTGTGTTTATTTATTCACAGCTCACCTGTCTACTTGGAGTTTTTCCTCATTTTGAAGATTTAACTTTAGATTTCATTGTCAGCTTACTGTTTCTCCAAGTTTGGGGTGTTTTTTTTTACTGCTTGCTTTTCACCTTTACATACTTTTTCCACTGAAACGTCTTGAAAAATGTAATTGTGCACGAAATGTGATTCCCCATCATAACTAATATCACTGGATACTAATCCCTTCCACACTTTCAAATATCTTATGAAGCAACTTTAATTATGTGACACTTTAATTAAGAAATATTTGGAAAAGCTTTTCAATTCACCTTTTTAAAATGTTATTCTCCCAAAATATTCATTTAACTCAGTATCAAAATTCTTACAGCTACATTTATTCCATGCACACACCACTTCCACATGTTTTTATAGAAGGTCTCTTAAGTAAAACAATCTTATCATGTTCTTTAATTGTAATATCTGAAGAGTAATAGTAACAGCAGACACTCTATTTTTGCTTTCAGAAGCAAAAAGGAATCTAAGTTGGTTATGGTATGGTACAGTATGATAAAGCTACTATAAAATTAATTATACATGTTAAGAATAGCACCATTTATTATTCTAAAATAAAATTTAAGCACAGAGAAATCTTTGGACAATAATCACACAAATCACTGGAAAATTATGGTATGTTCAATCTATGTGTGAAATTTTGATACAGCTATGAACTACAGCAGTAAACTTGTTCAAGAACTATGAATCTGTTGTGACTGGAACATAAATGTTGTAACAGCTGTACATATGGAACATTGCCTCTGTTACTTCTTCTTCAGATACATTCTTTAAGTTCAAATTAAATACATACTGTTTATCAATTCTTTATGTTCAGCAAGCGTCTTTGCAGGATCCAGCCAGTACTGTGAGACAGATAATTATGGAAATTAGTCACTTAACATGGAAAATTAATACAGAACAATTGCAATTCTATATTTATTCATATATTTATATTTATTAGCAGAGTGACACACTTCAGTCTGCTAATGACAAACTTGTGCCAGCTTCTGATCAGAGAAACACTGTCTGTACAAGTCTAATGTTGTGTATCTTCTCTGAGGGTAGGGGTCTTCCTAAAAGACAATCTGTTCGGTAAGAGCCACTGCATTTCAGGCTCGTGACAAGCTGGCTCTACAGAAGTATCATACTAAGTACCCATTGGTGGCTACCTGATCTGTTACAGCTAGCATATGGATGTGTAATCTTGCTATCTTCTTTCTGGGAGATTAACCTAAGCAGGATAACTCTAAATAACAGCAACAGCAAAGCACGTAAGACAGGACCCACAAGGAAAGAATGAAGGGGCTTCACTTGTTTTCTGAAAAGCAAAAGACTGTAGGGGGGTATAGGCCTAACAGCACTCTTGCAAAACCTGAGAAATTGCTGCAAGAACATAGGGATCAATTTTTCTTCATGTCCACCAAGTACGAAGAAATTGCCTTAACTAGAAGCAAAGAAAAATTAATTTCGATTTTTCAGAAATGGTTTCTAGTAGCAGGGGGAGAGGGTGACTGGAAATTGCCACCAAGATAGGGAGGGCACAGACTCTTCCACTGGACGGTTCACAGGACTAGTTGGACAAATGGGTCACAGATGATCTAGGTATGCTTAAGACGCCACAGAGCGATGAACTGTTATATGAGTTCCCATACCATTTGATCAACAGATAATCTGCAGTACAATTTCTCACCGATTACTCCGCCCCGCCTTTACCAAACTTCTAATAAAAGTTATCCTGGTGTTAGTACTGACCACAGACCAGCTGCGTACTTCGTACCATGGCTACACAGGTCACCAGTAACCCACTCTTGTAATCCCTCCAGCTACTTATTCCTTCCTTAGCTTGACATTTTTGTGATTCAGTTTTGGAAGGAAGCACAGAGGCAGCTGCCAAGACCATTGTTGTCTTCCTTTTCTTCAGTCCTCTTCCCTCATACACAAATTTTTTGGACCAGCTGAGATTGGTACCCCTTCTTAAAACACTGGAAACAAAAAGGCTGCAGAACATATCTGCTAGAAAGAGCAAATTAAGGCAGATTGAATCTAATCCCTTAGTACTCACACCTTTTTTAACTGAGAAACTACATAGATCAATGAACAAAGAAACTCCTTACCTGCACCCCTGAACTAACCCTACAGAGAATAAGAATAAAATGATTAATCAAAAAATCTCCCCCTTCTATCCAAAGGACTCTCTGGACTAAAAAAATTTCATTATTAGAAGGGAGGGAAAAACACTACAAAGCATTTGAGTGGAAAATCTCAAGCAACTAACTTCATAAGTAGTTATAAACAACTATCATCATTTTGACAAAACATGAAAACAAACTACTTCCATTAGCTGCTGATCCACCTGCAATAGAAATAGCTGTATGACTTGTCCTTGGCCATTGCTATTTCATATCCTGGAGTGTTTGTTAAGAAAATTTCCAAAATTTTGAAGGAAAAAACCATATACAGTACATGTTTGCATGAAATACATTTAATAGCTATTCAAATAGAAACGCTCTTAACCTCAACATAAGGTGGGAAGGAAAAAAAACTTATCACGCTTGAGCAGACATCCTATTGGAACTCCAAATCAGCAATAACCTGAGCTAGCACAATAGGCCGATAAACAGATTTTACAGTCAACAGGCAGAAGAAAGGCAAAATGATTCTGCGATGCACATACTGGCTATGCAATGCGGTCAGAATTTGGGCTGACCTCTTCTCAAGACTGGCATCACAGTATGAACAACACACTGTCAAGCTAACTTGCTTATCATTGACAGCTTTGTGTTACACTGTAAGAAATCAAAACTATCCTGTCTCAAAATCAGATCAAAATCTATCATGCAATAACTCTTTCATTAAGTTCTCCTGAACTCAACTGAAATCAACTTCAAGATCTATTACCTTATAGTCCTCTTTGCAGTTTAGCTTTACAAGCATAAGTAGATCAATTATTTGTAAAAAAAATAATGGATATTGATGGATCATCATTCAAGTTTGCAAGTCAAGCACAGAACAGTTACAGAATTTTGGTTGTCTCTGCAACCTGAACTCCATTGCCTCTTATATCCATGCGATTCACTGCTGCCATGAGACAAACCAGGATTCGGCCAAGTAATAAAAGACGGTATGGACACATACAGACAATACAATCAAAACAGAGTCGCATTGGAACCCTCAGTTCTCACTAGGTGGTACTTCACTGGCAAGTCAAATGACTCTTTGCATGGCCTTCTGAAGGTTATCTCCAAGCTTGGGGGAAGGGGTCAAAACTCACAGGGAAAACTGCAAGTCCAGATT